CTCCCCACCCTCCCAGCCAGGAATTCCTTCCCAATATCCCACCTAACCCTGCCCTCCTTCAGCTTAAGGCCATTCCCCCTTGTCCAATCCTTTCTGTCAAACCCAGTGCTGAGGGGCTCCAGGTCTCCTCCTCAGGGATGTTCTCAAACCCCTCAGTTACCCTTGTGCCCATTCTCCCCATCCCCTCCAATCTTCCCTCATTTCAGAGCCTGGAAGTGGCCACAGCAGCTGCCTCTGGGCTGAACTCAGAGGGAACATGACCTGTTTCTCCTCCATGGTCCTCCAACTGCTCCTCAATCTCTGCCTCTGTTACTTCAAAACTCAATTCTAAGCACAACCAAAGTGAAGCCACCTCTGGCATTATAAATGTCCCAGCTGAGAGGCACCTTCAGAAAGGAGAAATGAGGGTGATGGACAAGCAAGTAAACCTCTTTCCCTACACCTACTGCAGACATGGAACTTCTTTAACTCAACATTCACTACTCCAAGACATAAAACCAATGTGTTTTTATTTTTCAGTTACGTACCTTTTGCACTTCAGAGATTTTTACTTTGTATTTGTCAATACTTGGCACGATGATATTTCCTTTATACTTACATATATATTTTTTTATTTCAAAACCAGATTTTTAATTTCAAGTCCATTTATCAGAACTATTATCAGCCATTAATTTAAAAAAAAATAAGTCTTGTAAGTGACTTAGATACAAATAGCCACTGATCCAGTTAGCTTGGAGTCTCACTGCAAAGGCAGAATATCATTTATACATCAGCTGTTGACAAAAACCTCTAAAATGAGAAGTGCAGAGAGAGAACTCACTCTGAGTTAGTGGTGCAAAATGCAGCACGGAAGAGTTGAACACCCTGGTTCCTGTGATGCTCTGAACAAACACATAATACTCAGTGTCTTTGAAATCCTCTGTCAGGTCACAGGAGAGCTGGGCAGTGCCTGAGCACTGCCTGGCAGTTGTCCAGTCCCAGTTCCTGTAAGAAAAGGCAAAATAATCTGAATTCTCTGACATAAAGCATGAGAGTGTGAGGAAAGCATTTCTCAGCGAAAAAGCAAGAAAACCTCAGCCTTAGTATTTTCACAGAATTCCAGGAAAAGCCCTCCAAGCCCATGGATCCCCCCTGTGCCCCATCCCCACCTTGTCCCCCAGCCCAGAGCACTGAGTGCCACGGCCAGGCCTTCCTGGGACACCTCCAGGGCTGGGCACTCCAAACCTCCCTCCTATCTGAGTCAATAAACAGTAAAATTTGTGCCCTGTTTCCCAGCCTTGCCTGCGGGGTCTGTAGAACACCCTGTAGGAGGTTGGCACAGCTGGGTCATTCCTTGCCTGCCAGGACAGAATGTGCTGGAAGTTGTTGGACTCCATTTGCAGGTTGTAAGGAGGCCCTCCCAGAATTCTTTCTAGAAAAGGAAAAATAACACAAACAAACACCACATCAAAATGATGGCAAACAAGTGTGAGACCACGACAGTTCTGCTAAACAAATCCAGTCAGAGCAACTCAGTGTTTGCCCCCAGAGCAATAAAGCAACCAGAGGACAGAGTCCAGCACGACAGACACAGCAGTGCAAGGGATGGTGCTCCTGGGCTACATTTCTGTAAAGTTCCTCCTTCAGAAAGCACCAAGTTTTAAAATGGAGCTTGGTGAGGGTGTGCAAGCTATGAAATGTGTTAGGAAAAGCACGTGAAAGATGATAAAAACTCTTACCAGGCAGGCTGCAAACAGCTGCAGACAGAAAGCCGAGGTACACTGGAAAGTGAAAGTGGGAGTTAATGCCCTGTGTGTCTGCAGGGGGCAGTTCAGCTGCTGCCAACACTCACTGCAATGCTCAGCATTCCCTCAGTGCCACTGGCACCTTCCTTCACACCTTCCTGCTGCTTTCCTCCACACCTCCCACCTGCAGAGTCGGGGAGAACTGACCCCTGGCACTAATCCAGGGCTCCAAGGAGCTGGTTCTTGGATCGCTCCGCTGTGTTCAGGCTCGTGCTGATCCCTCCAGATGGGGCTCAAAACCCGGTGTGAACCAACACACCCAAGATGTTCTTGTCAAACACTGTCTCAGAGGGCCCTGACTGTGTTCCAGGTCCCTCACTCTGTCCATTAAACACCATTTTGAGTCATGACAAGAATTTTACAACTGATCTGGGAAAAGATTCTATTGTTGCTGGAATCATTCTCATGGATTGTAGAGTCACAGGATGGTTTGGGTAGGAAGGACCTCAAAGCCCATCCAGTGCCACCCCTGCCATGGGCAGGGACACCTTCCACCAGCCCAGGTTGCTCCAAGCCCTGTCCAACCTGGCCTTGGACACTTCCAGGGATCCAGGGGCAGCCACAGCTTCCCTGGGCAATCCTGATATTCCAAAGGTTTCTTCATCCTCCTGTACAACCTTCCAAGAGACTGTTCATCCCCCCAGGGTCTCACTGTATCCAGATTCTTTTCCTTGGCCAACCCAGTCTTTGATCATTCCTGTATTTTCAACGTGGTGCTTCAAAGCACTCTGGGAATTATTGTTCTGTCTGACCTTTCTCAATTCTTTTCCTCAAGCTCCTCCAGCCTCCCTTCTGCTTTTTGAGTGCAGCCAATAGAAACTTCCTGTCTTCATTTTAAGGCATTTTGTGGTCATTCCCCTGACTCATGAGATGCCAACTCCCACACTCAGTTGACCAAAGAAGTCACTACTATAATTTCAAACACGTTTTTTCCCATGCTTTAGATGAATTCCATGGAAAAATCTGCCAAGTTACTTCATTATCTTCCCCCAAACTCTCTTTTGTCTTGACCTGACGTGTCAACAAGACGAGCCCCAGTAAGAATGGCTGTGAAAAGAGAACAGAACTCTAGGGCATACATTAAAAAATAAAACCACTTATGGAGACCCACAAAAATGGTTAGGACAGGACTATCACACAGTGCTTGAGTTTGGAAGGGATCCCTGGATTCAGTTCTGACTTTGTGAAACACAGAACCAGAATACATATCCTGGTAGAGGGGATTGGGAATAGTTGTGTCAGTGGGAACTGATGTGCTGGGAGAACTTCCTCATGGATTAATGCAGTTATTTTCTGATCTTTGCCTACTGCTGCAGAGAGAACTGGAAGAGGAAAGGAAACATTTCCTACATGATTAATTAAAGAGATTTCTGCCCAGATTCTTTGTGGCCACAGAGAAGTGCCTTAAGAATTGCCCTTTCCCTGGTGGTGGCACACACAGAACACACACAGATCCACCTGGGCCATGAGTTTGCTGAGTTCACTTGGGAGGACACTCAGCCAGGTGTCTCTCACCAACGTGGCTCTCTGGACACGTGTCTCAAATTCAGCTGTGCCCCCAGCAGCCCTTCTGAAAGGAGGTGCAAAGACATCAAGCAGCAAACTCGAGCTGCACACGCAGGAAATTCAGATTCCCACGGGGCAGGAAACTCCTCTCTGCAGTTTCATTTTGCCATTCAAACCACAGACATCTTCTTTCTTGTCCTTGCACTTTGACATTAATAGTGAACAATAAACATCCCCTTACAGAACTGCAGTTAGAAGCAGAACAACTGAATTCTTTCCAGGTAGTAACAGATCACCTACATGGGAAAAAGCACCTAGTGGGGATGAGCAACAAAGCAATATCTTAACTGTTATTATTCTTTAGCTGCCACGAGCTCAGATCTGTAATTATCTGTGCCAGTTGCCTTGCTGGTGTAGTTCCTGTCGACAAAAATGTTTCTCTATTCTTTCCATATTTAATTTTTCAATGCCTCTTCCCCATGGAAATCAAATTCCGTCCAGCAGGAGTTCAAACAGCCTCTGAACTTTGTTTCAACAAACATGTTTAGCAAAGAGAGTTGAACAGTTGCAAAACTGTTTATGTTACAGTGTTACATAAGAGACACAGACCACAAAAAACCTCTCAGACCAAATAACTGGGAAAACTAAGACTGGGGAAATGAAGATGGTTTGTGAACTGAGTGGGGAATCTTCTTTACCATCCTGGAGTTTCTGGTCATCCCTGCAAGCGTCCCAGGCCAGGTTGGACGGGGCTTGGAGCACCCTGGGCTGGTGGAAGGTGTCCCTCCCATGGCAGGGGTGGCACTGGGTGGGCTTTGAGGTCCCTCCCCACCCAAACCCGTCTGGGATTCTGTGATGATGATCTTACTATTTTTACACAATCAAAAGATCCTAAGAAACCACCTTCTCACTACAACTGCAGTTCAGCCAAACTATGTTTGTTTTACCCTCTAATCCAGAAACTAAGGAGTGCTGAAAAAATTAAATAAGGAATGAAAACCAACATGTCCAACTAAGAACTCCCTGGATGTTCAGAGGGGCAGAACCATGGAATGGTTTGGGTTGGGAGGGACCTCAAAGCCCATCCAGTGCCACCCCTGCCATGGGCAGGGACACCTTCCACCAGCCCAGGTTGCTCCAAGCCCCGTCCAACCTGGCCTT